AAAAAAAAAAAAAAAAAAAATCAGAAAAAATATCCACATCCATTTATATTCATATTGTATAAATATAATAATCTAAAATGATGGACCAGAATGGTGTCAGCACAAAATTGAGAAGACAAACTTCAAGCACTAGAGCTTTTATATGTTCAAATGAACTGGAAGAATTCTCCTTGGTTTGTTCTCCTGGTAGAAATCTTAGGTGGAGACATCTGAATGCTGAGACCCTGAAGAGCAAGGAGCTTGCAGTCCTGACACTGCAAAGCTGTGCCTCCCTTTCCCCCCATAATACACACATCTCAGCACACTCTCTCTGCAGTTCCCTCAGTCTTCCTGGAGACAGGTGTATATAGGGTAGCAGTATACAGGGCAGTCCTGATCAGCTGACCTGGACTGCTTGCGTCTCCCTGCAGCACAATGTGGAGATTATAAAGAGGGTGTGTTCTTTTCCCTACCTGGCTGGAGTAGTACAGTCCAGCCAGAGTGACACACGGTCTCGGGAGGGGGGCAAGGGGAAAGGAAGGGGCAGGGGCAAAGCACCCTGGGATGCTGGAGGACGTGACATGGCTTTTTTCAGCAAGGCAAGCTGTACAGACATTTGGTCTCTAAGGAGAAGGTCTTTTGAGAGTGATTTAACCCTGGTTGTTCCCACATTATTTTTCTTATGGAGCAGCAATTTGTGCTCTGGAAGAAAAATCCTGGACATCTCTATACTTGTGGTTTCTCCTGGAAGAACAGCAACCCCCAATTGAAAATGAATGTCTGTATGTGGCCTATATTAAGATAAAAGCTTTTAAAGCCCAAACCAAAAGCTCTTTCTTCACTACATAACTGTAGTGCTGGGTAGAGAAGAAATGGTTTCAAGTGTAAGGTTTACACAGATCAGGAAGTCAGAAGAAAAAGAGACCAGTTTCTACTGTGTGCAAATAAAATCGCTATTTTTTTTTTTGCATTACTATTGCAAGGAGGTGATTTCAATGTGACTCAACTGCCAAGTCATTTTTATAATCATCAAACAACGGGTCACCATGGCCCGGATTTTCAAAAGGAGCCTAATGGAGTTAATGCAATCAAATTCACTTGAAACTGAGCACGTCCCCTTTAAATCCCACCCTCACATACTCATTTTAAAGTGTGTAAAAGAATTCTGTTACATCAGAAACTCATTGGTATTATCACTCTCATGCATACCACGAGTAAAAAAAAAAAAAATGTTTAAAGATTCCCTTTGCATGTATACACACAGCAGTGGGAATATCAAAAAGCTCAGTTACAAAATGGTGGGATTGGATCAATTATCTTTCCTTTCCATTTCTTTTTCTTTTACAATGTAGCATTACAATATATTAAGTGCATTTTTATCATATTAAAAAGCAGCAATGTATTCTTAAAGACTAGTTTTTAAGTCAGCAATGTCTGGTTTCAATATCTGATTCAGAACTACAGCCCCAATTCAGGTAAATATTTAAGTATGTGTGTGGCATTAAGCATTTGAGTAGTCCAATTGAAGTAATGTACTTAAAACTAAGCATCTGTGTGCTTACCTGGATAGGGACCTATCAGCTCCCTCGTGTGTGACAACAGTTAAGGCCTATTTTATACCCATCCTATGTGAAGCTTCTGAGAAACACTGCTTACAAAAATCATTATGACTTTAGAAAAATCCACTCAGAATGATTACGAGGTAATCAGAAGTAATATTCTGCACATTATCACTGATGTAATTCCAGTTGGGAAAATTTCTTTGATCACTAACTTTAGAAGCACAAAAATCTGCCCTATCATGGTAGAGTTGTAATCTCTGGTTTGTCCTGCTGAATTTTAAATCACTTACAGGTTTTCTACCACATCACTTCAGCAGCTTTTCCACAGACTGTTAGAATTTATTATCAATTTTTTTACCCTGACCTTCAGCCTAAATATTCCTGCACTCAAAGTCATCCCACTTTGCCCAGTTATATACAGCTTTAGATTTTATACAATTGTTCACAATAGAGTATCAGATACTGGCTAATACTACGCGCACTCACATTTTAGTCCTAAATTATAACAGCCAAATTTTCAATTTTACAATGTTTCATATTTACCTCATATGCATTCTTGATATTCAAAGGTTGGCCCAAGGCTGCTACATGTCCCACAATCCCCTTGTTCCATTCCAAGCGGATACAATTGTTGGAAGCTTCTTCCAAGGTGGAACCTTCTGCAACATCAAATAGCCGGCTGACAAGAAATTTCTCATTGGAACTGTCCTCACAGACCAGAAAAAGGGAATAGCGATCTGCAGCTATAAGCTCATGGATGTGCAGAAAAATTTTGTGGCAAAGAGCTGTGACATCCAAGTGGCTAGAAATATCTTTCACTAGTTCTAAGAGTCTTGAGCACTGATCTCCTATATCAGTCCCAATCTTTGGAGATTGTAGAGGCATCTGTTCCTTTTTTTCAGAATCTGAGAGAAAGCTCACGGTTCCTACAGAGTCCTTGACAACAATAGGTCTTAGAGGCCTATCAAATTCAGAGGCAGAGATTTTCCTAGCTGGGGTACCAGGGTTGGTGATCTCAGCACAGGTAGCCAGTTGAGCAGAGCAAGAGCAAGATTCACTGTGGGTTTTGGTTCCCTCCTTGCAAACTGGGATAGGATGAACTCTCTCAGCAAACCATGCATTGACCATTTCTCTACAAAACAAAATCAATGAATAAGAAATATTGTACATGAATCTCTGAAAGATAAATAAATAGAAGGGAACACCCCAGGACAATATTTGTCAATGCTTTTACCCATAGTAGATGCATTTGAACATTTGGGGGTTTGTACATGCCACAGCATTGGCCTTTAAAGCAGCTTAAATGCCCCTTTCTGCTTCACTAACATGATATTCTTTGTTTCCAGCCAGCGCTCAATCTAACTCAAGTACCAACATCATGTCTCATAAAAAAAGAAATATGCCTGATCAAAGGAAATGACTAAGGCAGGGCACTACCACTCAGGACATCACTTTCCATACTTAAAAACTGAAAAATTATAAATACGATAATCTCAAAGGTTTAGCCTTCAATTTATTCATAAAAACAATGACCCCCTTGTTTTTCCTATGTTGGAAATCAATATGCAAGACAACAGAATGAAACACTATTCTCATTAGAGTTATTTAAAATATATAAAAATGAAAACAAATCTGATTCTTCATCCAAAAGGAGAAAAATTTGAAATAACAAAATTTTTAATTTAGAAAGGGGGCATTTTTGTTTAAAAGTGTTTTCAACTAAAAGTGTTTTCTACATGTGGAACTTTACTCACAGAATTATGGCCGTTCAGTTTAATGGGGTGACAGCATACGTATGCAACATTCATGTTACTTGATAATATATTCTGGCATTTTAGTTAAGATTTATCCCTCCCCCCAGTCTCTAAATGTGGAGAAGCAGTAAGCTACTGGCACATTAATACAATGTCTCTGTTTCCAAAAAAATCTGCTTTTGTCCAACTTGAACAGAACTTTATTCTACACAGATGGTAGAGCAGGGGTTGTCAGAGAGCCAGATTATAGTGAGAAAACTTGGAAACTGAAAATTTGACAGTACAAGCAAAATTATGAAAAGAGAATTTGGGCTGTTGGACAGACAGCAACAAAAACCTGGATCAGATAAGACAGGAAGCTGCAGAGGAGAATTACTGCACAACGGTTCAATCCTGGATGGCACTGAGTACGTAAGATCCTAAATGAAAGGGCTTGAGGGAGCTCTTCTTGAGTGACTTTTCAATCCCAGTAACAAAGAAAAAGGTAAGCTGCAAGCATGATTACTGGAGCAAGTCAGCAGCATTATTAAGAGGAGCTTGGTAAAAAAAAAAAATCTTCAGAAAATATATTTATTTCAAATTGAATGGATGTTCCTGCCAGTCTCTGGAGGTCTAGTATATTTGCTCACCTGCATGCAGCTATGACTTTTTAAAAGGCATGGTATTATTTGGTTTTGTTGTTTTAATAAAAAGAAGTTGCCTGCAATGAATTAAGGAAATCCTTTTAACTATGTATCGAGCCTCTTATTTATAACTATGTAGACTTTCAGTCTCCTAGTTACAATAATTATAATTTTTCAATGTATATTAAAATTGGAATGAAGTAATTTCACCATTCCTTAAAATGCTGCAACTGGTAAATATGTAACATGAATTTAATAGCAGCTTATCACCACCTGTGCCTTTTCAAAAACTCAGAAGTGTAAATTTTAAAGCATGTGATGCGGTCACTTTTTCATACTATTTACAAAACATTCCCTCCTCTAAATATGTGCTTGAATAGAGTTGGGCAAAGGAAAGGACCTGAAATGAAATCCTTTTTTTCTTCTGAATCTTCTCTTAACCTTTAAAATTTTTTAATTGACTTTTTTCCTTTTGAAGTAAAGTAAAACAAACAATTCTTTAAAAAATGTCAAAATGAAAAATGTTGGCATGTCTAGAACAAAGTATTTAATTTAAAAGATATTGGGGAAAAAATCCCTAATGACACTCCACTTGGACTTCCCCCTGACCCCCATTTTTTTCAGCCACTTAGCCATTTGGCATAATTTGATTTGAATTCATTAATAGTTTCACTCCTCCCCATTCCCCAAACTCCATTTTTTAGAAAGTTCACTGCAGTGAACTCCATGAAGTGCACATCCTTGGGACTGAAAAAAAGAACGCAGATTTACCTGAAACATGCATCTCTCTCAATTTCATATAAATCAATCACTACATATGAAATATACAGCACTATCAGTAATGTGATATTTGCAATCTTGAAACTGATTAGTGTCCCCTCATTTTCAGAACCTGACATTGATTATTACAAACCTATTAGAAAACAAAAGAAGATAGTCTTTTCTGCAAATGCTAATATCAGTACTGAGAAGGCAGTGTACTTAGCATTATTTATAGTGATGTGAGGACAGTTACGTTAGCGGTTTAAAACCTGACCAGTTCCCCTGACGTTCAAGGCTCTAATAGCATCGCTCTGACAGCTGTCTCCTCTTCACTCTCTCTGGCAGTTATATGGACTTCAGTTAGTTATAAAGCAGACAGATGCAAATACAGTTACAATGCAGTTAACATGAGTTTAAGCTATAAAGTAGACTATGGGGCCTGAAAATCTGTCATACTTCAAAAGATTTACACATTTAACTGATATGCAGGTAAGTCTTTAATATAATATAAGCAATATGCAACACTCAGCTACTGGTGTTGGGGTACACTATTAAGCAGAATATACATGTATCTGGTGTGCTTCAAAGTGGAGTATACCATATTCCCAAAATACCCCCAGCTTCACTATTTGTTTTCCTAAAAAGACCTGGATTCAACACAGTAATAACAGCTCCTGACTATTTCCCCAAATGCAGTGCATCTTTCATTGCTGACAAGCACATATAGTATCCCTGCCATTCCTTCTAATCGCCTACACAATAAACATGTTTTAAACTTTTATTTGGTTAAAATCTGAAATGCAGAAGTCTCAGATTATCTTAATTTATCCAATATGGAGGTGTTAATCCCTGCTATCAATCAGCAGGGAAATTAATCATGCTAGACTTGCATCTATATATGTTCAGTATGAACACAGCTCTGTATAAATCTGTTTTCTATTTAAAGAGTGACCTCAACTATGTTGTACAATTCAGTACTTTAGGTGGGTGCTACAAATGATTGACAAAGGAAAGTCAAAGTGATTGATTAATTCCTAAAGCCATTATTTCAAGTATACTTCAAAGCAATGGATAGAATTTGATCTTCACCTAATGGTGGTATATTGGTCCTGATTCTTCAACCTTAGGCAAAAACACTGTTATGCACGGCGAGTCCCATTGACCTTGATGGGCCCAACAGTCCGTCCGTTCAGTTAAGCATATTTGTAAGGTTTTTTTTGAAGGATGGGGCTTCAGACTATAAGCCCTTTCAGGTAGGGTACCCTGGATGAAACCCTGGACCCAGAGAAGTCAATGTGAGCATTATAATTGACTTCAGTGGGGTCAGCACTTCATCCCATTTGTTTATACAACTTCCATGAAGAACATAATACAATGTTAGGTACACGGTTATTATTTATACCCCCAATCAACAGCTATTATAAAGTGGCTGTACTCAAATTCTGGAATCTATCCAATTACTGGCAAAAATGTCAGGCAATGAAATGGTTCCATCATGGAATTAAATGTTTCTACTGTTACCGTGGAAAGAAAAAGATTAATGTGATTAACTTAAAAACTGTTTAGAAACTAAAAGGAAGTAAACTGCATTTTTACACATAATCATCCTCTGTGATCTCTCTTCATTATAGTGTCATCATATAATGTCTCTCAAATGGAGTTTTAACCTTAACCATATGTCTCATGCAAATTCACTTCCAGATGAAGAAAAGGGAGGAATGATTAATACGTTATCAGGCTTCTGATTATAAATCAGCCTTCCTTACAGTATTTGAAACAATTAAATGTTAATATGTTGGAAGGATGATTTTGTGCTAAGGCATTAAATAAAAGCATCCTTTGCAAGGAACATATCAACCAACTCATGCTATAAGTTATTTCATTAGGACACAAAATAAGAAAGCTAATATTTGGTATCTTTAAATTACATTTCCTTAATTTTAAAAGGGAAATTAAGAAACAAATGATGACAGTGGCCATAAGCATCCTCAGAAGAATTAAGCAAGTGAATCAATACATAAATAGCGCTATAAAAATGCTGTGAATTATCTCAGAATAATATAATTATTGACAACTCTCACGTTATTAATGAGTTTCATAATATTTGGTGTTTTTCTTAAAACTCAATTACCTATTGGAAAGTGGTTACATATAAATCTTATTTTTCAAAAACAACAGTAACTTCCTAACTAAGGTAGGAGAGAACAATTAAACAATCTGGGTAGACCGAGTCCTGAAGGCTTTAAAAATAGAAGATAACTAAATAAATAGATCTCTTTCTCTGTCAAGTGCTCATGATTTTGAAGGCAGTATTATGATTGCATGTGATCCGACTCATGACTTTTGGTAACCAAAGAGTGATATTGTAGCTTTGATGGTCCAGAAATTATGCAAAAGGTAGGAATTTTTAGGGTGTCACACACTGATGAGAGTAGATCCATGGATCTTTGCATGTCAGCCTGTGAGCCTGTGCATAATGCACAGTCATCAGCGAAGAGGAAGTTGCCAAATGCAGCTCTCTCGATTTTGAAGCTCGCTCAGAGCATGCACAGGTTGAAGATGTCTCCGTCAAAATGGTACCTGATCCTCATACCAAGGTCATCATCTTGGAAGTCATCCAACAACATAGCAGAGAATACCATGCTGAAGAGGGTAGGTGCGAGCACACAGCCCTGCTTGACGCCATTTGTGACTGGAAAGGGGTCAGAGCGTTCGCCATTCGCAAAGCTGCATGTCATCATGCCATTGTGGAACTGTCGAACCATATTGATGAATTTTTCAGGGCATTCGTACTTCTTCATGATTTCATAGATTTCATA